GCTTGGTTCTTATGACAGAGCTGCTCACTTGGAGTTCTCCCAATTACGAAGTTGGAGACAAAAGTCCATTTTTTATAGTTGCATGAACCTTTTAGGTATGAATCAGCTTCAGTTGAACTACATTAAATTTTTAGTTCAGTGGCAAGTATAACATCATAGGGTGACTATAGTTAACAATAATAATAACTAGTTTCAAGTAGCTAGAAGGAGGATGTTAAGTGTTCTCAACATAAATAAATGATAAATGTTTAAGATGATGGATATGCTAATTACTCTGATCTGATCACTGTATATGATATGTATCAAAACATCACTATACATCCCATGATACTGTACAATTATTAGTTTTCAACTAAAATATTTAAAAAGTTTATAAAAAGTAAATGTAACTACAAAAGGGCAGAATGATACACTGATCCCCTTCAAATTAACTTTAGATATTAAAGCGACATTATATATATATATATTTTATTATACTTTAAGTTTTGGGGTACATATGCAGAACGTGCATGCTTGTTACATAGGTATACATGTGCCATGGTGGTTTGTTGCATCCATCCCTCCATCATCTACATTAGGTATTTCTCCTAATGTAGTCCTCTCCAATCCTCCCACCCACTGCTATCCTACCCTTAGCCCTCCCACCCCCCAATAGGCTCCAGTGTGTGATGTTCCCCTCCCTGTATCCATGTGTTCTAATTGTTCAACTCCCACTTATGAGTAAGAGCATGCAGCGTTTGGTTTCTGTTCTTGTGTCAGTTTGCTGAGAATGATGGTTTCCAGCTTCACCCACGTCCCTGCAAAGGACATGAAGGCATCCTTTTTTATGGCTGCATAGTATTCTATGGTTTATGTGTGCCACATTTTCTTTATCCAGGCTACCACTGATGAGTATTTGGGTTGGTTCCAAGTCTTTACTATTGTCAACAGTGCTGCAATAAATACACATGTGCATGTATCTTTGTAACCCTTCGGGTATATACCCCATAATGGGATTGCTGGGTTAAATGGTATTTCTAGTTCTAGATCCTTGAGGATTTGCCACACTGGCTTCCACAGTGGTTGAACTAATTTACACTCTCACCAACAGTATAAAAGTGTTCCTATTTTCTTCATATCCTCTCCAGCATCTGTTTACTGATTAAAAAATCAGGAAATTTTTCTCTTGATTTTTTAATGGTCACCATTCTAACTGGCATGAGATGGTATCTCAATGTGGTTTTGATTTGCATTTCTCTAATGACCAGTGATGCTGAGCTTTTTTCATATGTTTGTTGACTGCATAAAAAAGAGACATTATATTTTCAAAAAACATATCAATAATAAGTATTGCTACAAATCATTGATGAGCTAGTGTGCCTATGTCACTTACAGTTTCTCTTCAATGGAAGGTACATTATCAAAAGAGCCATTGATTTTCAACACCAATTGTTGCCAAACTCCTGCTCAATTTCTTCTTGTTTTCTTATGGAGTTACTGCTTTACTGCAGTATAAGTGATTTCTTTTTGCATTTTAAAGCAGGTATTATGGATCCTATTAGGTTTTCTAAATACTAAACCAGTGATTTATCTTTTTTTTCTCATAATTATTCCCCTGAAAATTGACTAGCAGTTAAGACACTCTGAAGGGCCTGAGTAATTTGATTTTTGTAGGCCGGTGCCCCATGAACCCTTGCAGGGGTTTAGAGAGCATTTCATTCCACTCTAGTGCAGGCAGAACACTGCACACATGCAGTCACTGAGGCCTCAGGAGAGTCAGCAACCTCACAGAGCATCAGATATGAGCATGTAAGCAAAGCATGATATTAAAAGTTATTTGTCTTTATGTCTTTAGAATGTCTACCTATTTAGGAGTTTTGAAATATAATAAAATTCATTGCTGCTCTGGTACTTGATAGTACTGATGCTTCTCAATGCTGCTCTGTTGGAGGATAGCAATACCCAAATTTCCAGTGCATTTCCTGTATGAATACAGTGGCACTGCAGCTGTCTTCTGAATATGTAGTCTAAGGCTCTAGTCATATTTCCTTTTGTTAACAATCTGGGGTCATCCAATATCCATATTTATTATTGTTTCATAATGATAAACTAGGATCAAAAGGAAACAAGATTAATTTATAAAGTGGTTGTTATCTTTCTTCCAAGTGATTAAGAAGTAACATGGATTGTGGTTTACTGTTTATATTTGAAAGTGAAACATGCTTTATGTTTTGTGTAAAATCAAAAGTTTTACTCATTTCTTGATAACATTTTATCATTTATGAAATAGATATGTGGGGTGTTTTCTGCTTTGTGAGAGGCATTTTTGCACAAACGACAGGTTTTAGTCTTTGTTTTTATGATTATAAACCACTTCATGGTGAACAGCCGGAGGAGCTGAGCTCTGAGAAAGCTCCCAAATTTCCTGAGTGTGAGTCTCCGTGTGCCAGCTGCCTACTGACTGGCTGTGTCCATTTTACTCAGCTCCAAAACATTTGCCTGCTTTCTGCTCACCTCTGTGGCTCTGTGCCCGTCCTCAAAAGGGGTCTGTAAGTAAAAGTATGTCCTTTGGCTTCAATGTGTTCTTGGATGACTGTGCTGTCAAGGAAGTAAGGCCCCTCTGCCTTACTTTGCTTAATACGAATATTACAGATGATGCATCATAGTATGAATTTTCATACAATGCTGTAATATATTTGATTCTGTTTAATTCTTCAAACAGCCCTCTCGATATTATTTCCATTTTAGAAAGATGGAACTGAGGCTCAGAGATGGCAAGTGACTTTGCGTTTATTTCCTTGTAAATGGCACGTCCAGGCTCTTAACTTAGGATTTCTGCCTTTCTGCCTCCTTCCTCTGCAGCACGGCTGCCTCAACCTGTTGTTAATTTTACATTAAGCTATATTAATTGGAGCTAGGGGTCTTCATAATGCTAAATGAAAATTCTTTGTTTTGTTCAATGTTCTTATTTTATGGTTGGCAAACAAAACAACGAAACAGCATCCACAACAACAACCAAAACCACCAACTAAAGCTACAGCTTTGAATCTTTCTAAAGACAATAGGCTAAAGTGTGGTCCTCATAATAAGGTGCTAGTCACCAGGAAGGAAGCCAGGAAAAATCTCCTCTTAGGGGGTAATTGATCTCTATTGGCCTAACACTACATATAGCACTGAGTTAGGAGGCTCCATGGAGAAGTGTCTGCTTCTTTTCCTCTGCTGCCAGAACAAAGTTCACAAACACGTTTGTTTTCCCCACACCCTTGGAGTTAGCTAGTTAGGGCTCCTATTTTTGTCCGGGAGACCAGACCTGGGCATTTGTAAAAGAACTGAAAATAGATGGATAGCTAAGAAGAAAACAAATGTTAAGATTATCATTATTTATAGCCCAATGATTTAGTAATCTAAAAAAAATCCAAGAACAACAAAATAATCCTTAAGAAGGACAAGAATTTTAAAACATGCAGTTCAGAAAACCACATTTATCAGGCCTAGGGCTCAAGTAAAAAAAAAAATCTGACATGAAGTCTGGAATACTGGGCCTAGATTCTACTCCTGGCTCTGTGCCCTTCTGTGCCCTTGGGTAAGGCATTGAACTTCCCCACCCCAGATTCATGTGTCTAAGGAGGGTGTAGGATTTTGTAGCCTTCCTAGTGAGGGCATGCTATTAATCAGAACCTTTACCAGCTCTATTCTCACTATCCCAGTAAAATGATGTTAAAAATTAGACCTCATGGCATGAGAGAAGAGGGGAAATTAATTACAGATTACAAAGAAAGTGTGGGATCTAAGTCTAGGGTGAGCTGTTCTACTGAACCTCTAGGGTTGGTCATAGCACCTGCCATATTGCAAGCATTCAGTAAATGATGGTAAAGGACCTGGGGCAAAAGAGACCTGTTGTTGAGTCCTGATCCCCACACATGAGTACAGTGGCTTGACAAAGTTATAAGCCTCAATTTCTTCCTGTGCCAAATGGAGATAATACCTCAAGGGTTATGAGGATTAAATAAGAAAACTGTAGTTCCGTGCCTAGTACACAAGTACACAGTGAATATTGGTTATTATTATTTCTAATACTGTGATGGTATCTTCCCGCCAAAGACTTCTCTGAGGAGCAGGGAGGATCCAGAGATAAGAAGCCTGCTGGTGGCAAATCTGTTAGCCTTTCAGGGCCTTAGGCTTCTGCGGAACTCTGCACCTCTTCCCTGTCCTAGTTCTTGAGAGCGGAGACTCTCCAGGGACCTGCGGTGAGGTAGCCGGTGGGAAGATGAGGTCTGGAAGTAAGGGGGTGCCTGCGAGTCTCAGTTTCCGCCTCTGCTGCACTGAGACCCAGGCGAGTCTTGCTTGGCCTGTGTGCGCTACTGGGAGAAATGGACGTGGGCTTGAGGGCGCTGGCCCCGGGGCCATCCAGCCGGCGGGGACACTGTAGCTGTCGTTTGTCCTTCTGCAGGCGGGTAGGAGCAGCGGTGACCAAAGTGGAAGTCGATCGCTCAGTGCAGAGTGTTGACCAGGAAAGTCTAGGCTCTTTCTAAATCTTCCCGCCAGACCTGGTGACCCATTCGCATGTATTTAAGGCGTTTGCACGCAGAACGTTATCACAGAATGTAGCCACCTTTCTTAAGATCCAGGAAACCAGAGGTCTCTCCAGCAGGTCGTGGTACAGGAATTTCTCCTATCTCCATGTGACGTCTTTTGATTTAGAAGAACTAATGTTAGATTTCTTGGGCCTTTCCACCTACTACAGCGACAGTCTTCCCTTTGTTTAGCTAAAATTGAGGCAGGCAGGAAAATATTATTGGGGGCATGAACCTATCAGTGTGTAAATGTATTTTTATGAAGTGTGCCTCTAGGGAGCGATTAAAAACTGACCTCTCAATCACAAACATAGAAGAGATTTTGATAACGTTGAGAAGCTGCCTTTTGGAAGGTAAATTTACAACGGTCCTTGACGAAGGGGCTCGGGAGCGGAGAAGTCCAGCCAAGAGAAGCTCATTCCATGCTGTATTTTTGCCGTTGAAAAGCTGCCTAATCATTGCTAACTGCTTCCCGCATAAGAGGTCTGGGAAGCCTTCAGAAACAAGGCAAATGAAGACTTTTCACAGCCTCCTTCGGGCTGTCGCTGCGGGAAGCCAAAGTCTTAGCACACAGAGCAGCCGGAGGGGGCTGCTTTCAGGCAGTTCCACTGAGCAAAATAATTCATTGAATGGCATTAACGTTCTGGCTTTAAAAATCGGAATTTATCAGAGGCAAAAATTACCTCCGAGAAACTACGGACACTCGGCGTCCTCATTCATTTCCAAGGCAGCAGGGTATCTGCACTTGGGCAACGTATTCAGATTCATGCCTCCTATCTGTCTCACCTCCTTTCTCTTTGAAGTGATGCCCTTTCCAAAGAAGACGGCCGGAAAATGGACCCCACCCGGAGAAAAAGAAAAATGAAACGTAAATCAGTTTGGCACTGCTTGCGTCTTCCAAAACGCGGTGGGGACAAGGCTATGGAGAGTCTATAGGTAATTCTTTTATATATATAAAATGTATATATATAACAATTCATATGAATTCTTTTATCTGAGTCCATGTGACTCTGAAGCCGGAGAAATCAATTCATATGAATTTTTATGTATATAACATATATACATATGTATACATTATATATATATTTAAGAATTATCTATAGATAATGTAGCTATGTGGAGCTGTGAAGCAATTCTCCATGCTTTCGTCTCCCGCAAGTTCCCAGGTGGAGGCCACAGTCAAAGGTATTATAAGCCGCCTTAGTGACCACCAGAGACGGAAACCGCTAATTACCACGTCTCCTTTGATCTCCAGGTGCCCTTTGGCCCCTGATACCAGAGGCTTTGGTATTGGCGCTTTCCCAGAACTGGACCAGAGGAACCAGTTCAAAGTCTGACTTCGGTCTGCATTTAACGTACACACGGAGGTCTGGATTAGACTCCCCCGGTTTTAGAGAAGTGTGCTGATTGCTGTGCTGCTAGAGGCCAGCAAACTCTCCGTGTGGAGATGATTAGTTTCAGCAATTCGCCACCTGGGAGCTTTTCTTTAAATTTTGGGAGTAAACTGGGAAAATAAAAAAACCTCCAGGTCCACTGGCTCTCTCCCTTTCCCCACCTTCCTCTTTCGATTCGTTTGTGGGAGTTTCTCCTCTTTGCTGGGACTAAAATGTGATGCGCAATCGTTTGTGAATGAACAAAAGTCACCAGCAGGCGGGGAGACAGGGACAGATCTCTGACGACAGACTGAGGGTGGGAGCAAAGGTCCTGCCTCCTAGGATAAAGGGGAGCAGCCCTTCCCGCCGCCTGGTCTCCATGGCTCCCTTCGTCTTCCAGGTAAGATGAATGTTCCTTCATCCATCATCCACAGAGTACCCTCCCCCAGGCGAGCGTAGAATCTGCTCTCTGATGAAACCTATTAGCCCCGAACTGGGTTGCTTTGTGGAGCCAACCGAGGCTCTCCATTGTGGCCTTTGTCTGCAGAATTTAAGCATTTACATAATGCATTAGCACGGAACTCAGCACGGGGTGAGGACACCGCGTGCCAAGCCCTTTGGCATGGGCTGACACTTCAACAGCTCCCTCAACCGGCAGTTCTCAAGGACCACCCTCGAGGATGCGCTGGAATTGGGCTGCAGGCTCTCTGGCAAAGAACTCAGCATCTCATCCAAGTACTTCTCCTTCCTTGGTCATCTCTGGGAGGTTATGCTTTAAAAATAAAAAATATAAAGGAAGGGGTGCAAAGTTTCGGTTGGTGAACTGAAGCTGGATCCATGTGACCCTGAAGCCGCAGAAATCAACTTAACATGAATCTTGCTTCCCTGGCGGACGTTGGGACCTCGCCGTTTTTCAGGCGGACCGTTGGAAGCTTTGTGCCCAACGGCCACAGGTGCCTAGGAGCACAGAGGCTTCGGGTTCGAATCGCTGGCGCGAGGGGCCTAGACTCGCGAGTAGCGACTACCTCCCCGCCCCCCACAAACCCGCGCGCCGGAAGCGGTGTCTCACGCCAGTAATCCCAGCACTTTCGGAAGTCGAGACGGGCAGTTGAGGTCAGGCGTTCGAGACCAGCCTGGCCAACATGGTGAAACCCCGTCTCTACTAAAAATACAAATATTAGCCTGGCGTAGTGGAGCATGCCTGTAATCCCAGTTATTCGGGAGGCTGGTGCACGAGAATCACTTGAACCTGGGAGGTGGAGGTTGCAGTGAGCTGAGATAGCGCCACCGCACTCCCGTTCTGGGTGACAGAGCAAGACCCTGTCCAAAAAAAAGGAGAGATTCGGTCAGGAAAGAATCCATAGGTATTCGGGGCGCTCCCACTTTGCAAAGTAAATGCAATCTGTTTAGTAAGCCGAAGTCCCGAATAACCATCCTATAGAGGGTGGTGGTCCAACTCAGAAATCTCGCCCAGAAGGACTTTCCACCAAAGATGTCCCTGAAGCGCCAAGAACTCGCCCCAGTCCCGACAGGTGCAGGACCTTTTGTGCTGCCACAACTTGGGACTCTACCTCCCTAAATAGGCCGCTTAATGGCCAGCTGTGCAACTGGGATCCCGCGGCGATAAAGAATCACTGTGCAGAACCCTGGAGCTGGGAGTCAGCCCGCCCCCTTCCAAAGAAACCACCGGCCGAACGCGGCGGCTCACTCTTGTAATCCCAGCACTTTGGGAGGCCGAGGCGGTAGGATCACGAGGTCAGGAGTTCGAGACCAGTCTGACCAACACGGTGAAACCCCGTCTCTACTAAAAACACAAAAATTAGCTAGATGTGGTGCTGCGCGCCTGTAATCGCAGCTACCCGGGAGACTGAGGCAGGAGAATCCTTTGAACCCGGGAGGCGGAGGTTGCAGTGAGCCGAGATCGCGCTACCGCACTTCAAGCCTGGGCGACAGAGCGGGACTCTGTCTCAAAAAAGAAAAAAAGAAAAGGAAAAAGAAAAAAGAAACCACGATCCCGCGTCCTCCCAGCCGCTAGTGCTGCGCGCCGGCGGCGCCCAATCAGTGAGCTTTCCGGGTGTGTGACGGCCTTCGGCTCCGCCCCCTCGACGGCCATAAAAAGCCTCAGCAAAGCCTGCACTTCCTAGCACCGCACGCGGCCCTGCGCTCCGGGATTTCCCCCAGGTGCACCTCTTCTCCGGCTCCTTGTAGCACTGGTCTCACTGTCCCCGCCGTCCGCAGCCAGTTCCTTATCCTCCTCACTTCCCATTGTGGCTTGGCTGAGCCAGTCGCCAGGCCTCGCTGTCCTCCTTCTCTGCCGTCCTCTCTCAGCAGCAGCCACTTTGCGCCGCACCTCACCTGGCTGCAGGTGAGCAACAGCGCAGCGCCCCTGTCCGGCGAGCTTACCTTGTCCAGCCCTGCCCACGCCAGAGCGGCACCGGCACCTCTCCAAGACTCCCCCTTCCCCGCAGGATGAAGAATCCCATGCTGGAGGTGGTGTCTCTACTGCTGGAGAAGCTGCTCCTCATCTCCAACTTCACATTCTTCAGTTCGGGCGCCGCCGGCGAAGACAAAGAGAGGAACAGTTTATATGAAACCAGCTCTTTCCACCGAGGCGACGTGCTCGAGGTGCCCCGAACCCACCTGACCCACTATGGCATCTATCTAGGCGACAACCGTGTTGCCCACATGATGCCCGACATCCTGTTGGCCCTGACCGACAACGAGGGGCGCACGCAGAAGGTGGTCTCCAACAAACGTCTCATCCTGGGCGTCATTGTCAAAGTGGCCAGCATCCGCGTGGACACAGTGGAGGATTTCGCCTACGGAGCTAACATCCTGGTCAATCACCTGGACCAGTCCCTCCAGAAGAAGGCACTGCTCAACGAGGAGGTGGCCCGGAGGGCTGAGAAGCTGCTGGGCTTAACTCCCTACAGCCTGCTGTGGAACAACTGTGAGCACTTTGTGACCTACTGCAGATATGGTACCCCGATCAGTCCACAGTCAGACAAGGTATGACCTGTGACCCGCAGGGAAGTGGGCTCGCCGGGGATGCCCCCTCCCATCCCTGATGTTTTCTCTTCCGCGCTAGTAAGATCTTCTACCTTGACGCGCCCCCCCCCCTCCGCCCCACACTCCCATTCCATTCTTAAAGCTCTAGATTAAGTAAGGAAAGTTCTGGTGTTCCTAAGGTAGGCTAAGTAAATAAACAAATGGCAACGTGCCTTGTAGGACTCTCGAAATGCACAGAGAAAGGGTGTGGTAACTCAGGGCCACTTCCATAGATTCCAGAGCTGCTCAGTATTGCTGCAGAAGTCATCAGGGTGTCCACCCACAATGTAGTTCAAATGACAGAGGGCAAGTGACTGGGGGCGGGGGATACAAGAAATCAGTCATTGCTGCTTGCACCTTTAACCAAGAATTTCACTTGAAAGGAAGATGTCCAGAGTTTATATTTAATCCTTAACACTATAAACAAAGTGTGTGCCTTTAAAATAAGGAAGCATGCAGTTTTCTCCCTCTGTAAGCTGCATAGAGGGATTTTTCATTGTTTGCTATAAGCTATCAAAATTCCTAGTAAGAGGGCCTCCCTGCTAGGTCCCTTGTTCTTGTGTTGGTGTTTCAGAGTGGTCTTTTCCTTGGTATTCTGATTTCTTTCTGGGTTGGCTTTATCTGCATCTAGACTTCCTCATTGTTAAGCATCCTTTACTCATTAGCCCTCAAGGTAGATTGGATTGTTTATGAGTTCCCCAGAGATCAATACAATTAGTTTTCGAGAAGAGATGTTAAATGTTGGAAGGTAATTTTTATAAGTAATTTGAAAAACAGTATTAGAATTGAATATTATTAAATTAGCCACAAATGCAAAGGGGAAATGGATTTTTATTTCCTTTTAAAACCTCTTAACTTTTAAAGATAGTTAATATTTTAAGCCTACAACTTCATTTACAATTGGAAACGCTCTTAGCCTTCATTGCACTTGTTAAAGAAGCTATTAATGTTCACTCTTTACAGTGGAAACCTGGGCAGTAACATAATGAGCTTTAGTGTTAGTCTTCATGTTTAGATATTTTGCAGACCAGAAAAATCTGAGTACATTTTTTTCATGTAACCAATTTTTTATTGCTCCACATCTCGGTTAATTTTTTTGACCCATTTGGGGATATCTCATCCTCTGTGGGAGAACATGAAAGTATTTTGCTTTTATAGATCGGTGTATGAAACTTTTTGTAGATTTTATAGAGCCACAAAAGACTCCATCTAGGAATTCTTTTCCAAGTAAAATAAAAATACAGTTAGAGCACTGTGCAGCGATTCAAGAATCACAGCTCTAGTCCAGGCATGTTTAGAAATGAACTCCACCACATTTACAAACACTGGCTCCCAAAGTGTACAAAAGGAAACACGTCAGATTTACTTAGGAACCAAGCAAATCATTTCTCTAAGGAGAAACAGTATTTCTATCCAGTAATTAGGAGTTACCCTTTCGTGGAACACATACAGTACTCCATTATATATTTCTACAGAAAAACAGTAACTAGTGCTTTTGTAAGGTAGTAAAATATTTAATCTGCATGGATTAAAACTGCATGTAAGGTAGTAAAATATTTAATCTGCATGGAAACAACTAGTTGGAGTAGTTTTTCATCTTTGGAAACTTTGTCAGGGTTTATAGAAGTAGAGAAGTGTTTTAATTGCTATTGCTGCATAGCACCTCTTGTGAAACTGAGTTTTGTCTTCACTTTGAATGGTCTAACAAACAATTTGGCCACAGAGTAGATTTCCCGGGGGAAAAAAGTTTTCATCCCAAATTTCCTAATCCTACAAACTGTTTTTGAACATGCGCAGAGACAAGTAGGTCATTAACACTGAAGGAAGGACTGGTTTCTACTTTTTAGAAACGTAAGAAATTATTTAATTCTGGGTCTGATTGTCGAGTTCTCCATATATGCAACTATCATTAACATGAAAGATGCAAGGTTGCCTCTTACTTTTAACTTTGAGTTAATAAAAACTCTTAAGAACACACTATCCCTAAGGGAAACACTGCAATTAGTTTGCAAATGAATGAACTGGAAAAGAACATTTACTTCTTTGTGGTAATACTCTTTTTTACAAGTTTAGAAGTCATAAAATTATGGGTTTTTTTATATAGCTGTTGACAATCAGTATTTTGTAAACTAAAAATTCCTTTGGTTAATGACTATTACTATTCCTTATGCTCTTTCTACTATGATTTTTATTTTACTTTGTTAATATTGCTTTTTTTTTTGCCAAAAAAGATTGCAAATGACCCTTTTAATTTGCGTGGATTGAGTGCTCACAAAAGTGTTCCTACAGACTTCTTGATCCTTTCTAGAAATTTCCTACTGTTGAGCACCACTAAAGATGCTTGATGGTCTGCTGACCAAGTGAACAGGAACAGGGTATTAGACATGAGATGGTCCTTGAAAAATCTGCTTTTGTGGGAAATACAGCCCACAATGATTCTGACTGACTTATAAATTATCAAGGAAAAGATAAAATAAGGATAACTGTATTCACAACTTACTCATGTACCAAAATATATGTCCTTTATTATTTGTCAACCTCCATTTCTCCCTGTCCTGAAAACTTCAATTTGATCTTCACCACCGTAAAACAGTATACTTCTCAGTGCCTTGCTAGTTTATTAAAAAGAGACAAATAGTGTGTTTGACAGAAAAATAGACCAACATCTAGATAAAAGAATATTTTCACATTTGTTTAGGTAATTGTGTAAAAGTATCGATGAGACAACCATACTGTCGAGATGGTATATTGAAACACATTGTACTTGTTCATTCTATCCCTAAAAAATTTGGAAACCTAGCTGCCCAGTACCATGTAAACCACTGTCAAAAACCCATAAAGCACATACAATGCCATGTCTAGAAAAAGAGCTTAAAATTAGTATGAATAGCAAAACCCATATAGAAATGACAATCACTGCATTCTGGCATCAACAGCAATGTGGTAGAGATAATTGTCAACAAATACAGTAGTAATAATCATTGTAATAAATTATGATTTTTATGGCACATAGAAGAATACAGAGTACTTGTGCATGAAACATCTCAGTTGATCCTCAGAACAATTTGAGTGTTCTCATGGAGGAGTAGAAGAGGGTAGCCTGGTTAGGTTAAATGACTTACTTGAGGTGACACAGCCAATAAGAAGAGTTGGAGCCAGGACTCAGACATAGGCCGTCACTTCTAAGTAAAACTAGTTCTTTAAGGAAAACATTACACATATTAGAAGGATGCATTCCTCAGATGTAGGGCCAATAGTTGTTTTTATTTTTCCAGCAGCCAGTTATGTATTACAAAATCAATGGTGAATTTAATGTATTTAGTCAGGGAATGGGATTTGACATTAAAATTGGACTTCCTAACTTGTAGATTTTGAGAATTATAAAAAATTATCATTGGTATCATTAGATTTTAGAATGGCAAATTGTAGAAATTGAATCTACCTTTAATCTCTTATTCTAAGTTCTCTTATTTTTACTCAAGATTAGAGAACTCTTTCCTCATCTAATTTCAGAATATGCTATTGTTATTGATAAGCAGTTTGATGTTTTAACCTTCAGTCCTGAATAACCATGTGGTTATACTTTCTATAGTTTTCTATACATTATGTATTTACGTAGGCAACTGCCATTATTAACTTAGCTGCTGAAAGGATCGTTTCTGCTACTACAGGGTATAGAATCAGAACTGGACTCTTAACATTGTAAAGTTTTTTGTAAGTCATAAGAGAATTTCTAGTTCTTCTGGTATACAGAAAATAGCTGGGAAAACTGGCTTACTATTTGATATATGTGATTCTTCTTGGGTTTAGTCACCTTTCCTAATTTTCTTAAATTTTATTTTCCAGTTTTGTGAGACTGTGAAGATAATTATTCGTGATCAGAGAAGTGTTCTTGCTTCAGCGGTCTTGGGATTGGCATCTATCGTCTGTACAGGCTTGGTATCATACACCACCCTTCCCGCAATCTTTATTCCATTCTTCCTATGGATGGCTGGCTAACTTCATACCCCCATGTCAGTGTGTGTATTCTGTGTGTAAATATTTTATATTTATAGAGCATCAATCAGTATAAGCATTATCAAGAAAAATGTGACCTGTAACACTGTGTTCTGGATAAAAATGTGATTAGGAATCACACCAAGTGCTTACTGTGTAAGCCCAAGAACAAAGGCTTTCCGAATCTTCTCAGGCAGTTCAGATTTAAAGCACCATCCAAACCTTGGAAACACAACAGGTTGTGGTAGAATTCAGCAATATGAGAAAACCAGCCCCAAAGATGATAGCCACAGAGATTGTGTTCTGTTTTTCCTCTTGTAATCCTTGTACTGTTAGGCTGAATTTGAAGATTGGAAGACTATATTGAGACCAATACCTTTTTTATAAATTTACTTTGTTTTATTGAAAAAAAAATGGATAAACTTGAGTTAAAATGAAAGTATTTTCCTCATTCAAATGAAAACATGTTTGCTAACTGGTCAAAAAATAAGCTCAAAATCTATTTTTTTCATGTAGTGTATATAATCCTGAAAAAGTTGAGTGTTTCATTTTCATTATGTGAAATCAATATTGACAAATAGTACTTTAATAATAAAGTAACTTACCAGAAAGTATAGAAATCTGTGTTTTCCTGTAAAAATAGTGACTATAGTATCATTTGAACATTGATTTGGTTTTACTTACTAGGAAGCCTGGAATTCATTATTTTTTTTCCTTTTATGTGTCACTGTGGTTACTTTAAATCACTCTGAGAGGTAAATGGATATAGGATTGAAGTTATGTGGGTATTTGGCGTGTTTGTGTGTGTGTGTGTGTGTGTGTGTGTGTGTGAAATAAATATGCATATAGTCATATACACAGACTGAGAGACAAATTGTTCTTGATTGCTTTATTATCATCATACTAGTGTGGTTATTATAGAGCATCTATAGAGGTGATTGTAAAAGTAAGTCCAATCTATTTTCTTATGTCTTTGAATTTGTAGTATTAACTTGCATATATGATATTGGATGGGTTGTCTTTTGAAGCATTTACTAATGTACTGTAAAATTTTTAAAAACCTTCAGATTTGTTTACTAGTCACTTTTCTCCATATCATTTCTAATTATAGTTTATATCCTTAAAAGAAGGATGCCACAGCAGTATATAAAACCCAAACAAGCAGAACCCAAACAAATAAATTTATTAAAGATAATTTTAAAGTAGCTTAGTCCTGCCAGTCATATAAATTGATTTTGCTGAAGCTCTTATAAGAGTTGAGGTATAGCAATTTTAAAACAAGCATTCGAGCACTTTTGCAAAATTACCAAATTCTTAAAATGAAGCCACAGCTAGACTTGCATTTCAAGTATTAAAATTGTTTTCTCAACTGCCAAGAATCATAAAATAACAAATCATATTATGAGTGAATATGGTGGGGAAGGTGGGGCCAATCAATGATTCAATCAGAATAAATTTTAAGAGCAGATCTTAGATTAACTAATGTTTTATCACCACTGATTTGCCCACAACAAACTTAGTGTTTAATTTTTCAAATTAAATGTTGAATGATTTAAGTTTTTAAAATAATTATAATATTAAATGGCACCATCAGAGAATACAGGTGTTCTCTGGACCTATTCCAACCACTTAAAATTATCATAAGTATGCATACATAAAAGCAACCACTATGACAACTACTGTGTTAGTGGCTTTCACTTGCTATATATTACCCTTGTAGAAATAGTTTAAGTAAATTCATTTCTTTTTTTTTCTTTTCTTTTTTTTTTTTTGAGACCGAGTCACCAGGCACCAGGCTGGAGTGCAGTGGTGGGACCTCGGTTCACTGCAACCTCCGCCTCCCAGGTTCAAGCAATTCTCCTGCCTCAGTCTCATGAGTAGCTGGGACTACAGGCGCGTGCCACCATGCCCACCTAATTTTTTTGTATTTTTAGTAGACATGGGGGTTTCACCATGTTGGCCAGGATGGTCCGATCTCTTGACCTCATGACCCACCCACCTTGGCCTCCCAAAGTGCTGGGATTACAGGCATGAGCCACCGTGCCCGGCCTCATTTCTTAAAAATATAGTATCCTCAAATAATTTTTGCAAACTTTAGTTACTACAGGCAGCAAAAACAACTGTCTGAAATTAAATCTGTGTTTAAATATAAAGACCCCATATTAAAGCCAAGGATGTTCTTAAGATTGGAATTGCCATAATTAGTCTTATTTCATTAAAGCAAGATTCAATTCGTTGTTCATTTGAATGCTCATTGTATGCCAGGCATTGACCAGTTGCAATTTTATGGTCCAGAGTTAATATTATTATTCATATAGTAGCTATAATAGAGTATACACAGTGCTGTGGGAATACAGAAGAAGCAGCAATTAAATCTGCCAGAAGGGTAAGAGAATTCTATATGCAGGAGGCAATGTTAGCATTAAGCCAAGAAATAGTGTACGGTGATCTTATCATACTGATGTGTTCAACTGTTTATGGGAAGAGGAAACTAGAAGGATGGTTTTATTTGTGAAATGTTCTACAACGCTAGAATTGTTGAACTTCTTGGGAGAAAAGGAGTCTTTGTTTTGTTGTGCTCTGTTTGATTAGCTGATAACAAGGTAGAAAGAAAAGCACATCTTCCTGATCACAGTTAGACAAGAAACCCTGAGCCATTAATGTGTCTCCTAATTTGAGGCAGTTCATGAATTTCTCTGGGCTTCATCGGGTAAGATTCATCCTTACGCTCCTGCAAGTCCCTTATATTTCTGTATTTCTATTCTAACTTCTGAAAGGATAACTTAGTAGTGTCTGATGAAGTTTTTTCTTGCTTATTTTATTCTTTGTCATAGGTGAAGACAGAATAGGACTAACTGGGGCTCAGATGAGTTAATTTAAGTGTCAGATACTAGGCCTGTGTTAGTGATGAAATGATGAATGAGGCATGGACCTTTTTCTCAAAGTTTATGGCCTAGTAGACATAATTGTATTAGGACTCTCTGCAGTTGACATTTGCATAAAGCTGACTGAAGGCACAGAAAGTGAAATGGTTGATTTTTAACTGATAAGGCCAAATTTATACAAACCATGTACCAAGACTTGGGTGATATTTTCCAGGAAACAGATTTCAGGCAGGACATTCCATGCATTGGAAATAGCATGAGCAAATGCATGAAAATTGCCTACAACATGCCTGGCACATAGCTATGAGATACCCTACTAGTTGTTGACTTGAAAACATGGAACTGCACAGGGCATTCAGGCAAGTGCAAGTGCTTCAGGGGCCAGAGCAGAGAGCAAGAGTGGTGAGCAAAGATGTCAAAAAGGAAAGCAATGGTCAGGTACAAGTCTTGTGTAGATCAAGAAGTTTAGACTTTTGAACAGGTAATCGAGATTTGAGGTTCAGAAAGATAAATCCCAAAAGTACGGAGGACAAAGGGACTCATTTAAAGGACTAGCTAAGGTGCTCAATCTCTAAAAACAGGGGTCTGTATTTGTGAGAGTAGAGAGCAAACATGTTAAGGAAGAGTCAACTGACCTTAGCAAAATCCTTTTATTTGACTCATGCATAACTCTTGACGGAGTGTTAAGGACGAATCATTCACTTTTCTTTCCTGCCAGAAAGTGGGTTCTTGCATAATAGATTAACTTGATGTCTATGTGTATATTGGATACTCATGATTTTTGCTCTGTTAGATATGTTTCTTTCTAAGGACAAGCAAGTTTGTATGGATTTGTTGTTTGAGTTTTTTTTTCAGTATATATATATATATATATATATATGTTTCTTGTTTTTCCATTTTCTACTTCATACTGTTAATGTCAAATATCAAAAATGTTTTCCAGCAATATCAAGTTATGGCAATGACAAAAGTCCTTCACTGTAGATGAGAAGCATATAAGAAATGGTTGCCAATCTTTGTTTTGTATGATCTATTTAGCATTTAAAACAACCTAGATCTGTCAGCTAAGCTAATTTTATATTTGGTATACATGCATGTCAAATAAAGTCAATTTTACATACTGTCCTCTCTTGTCTTTGAATTTTAAATACATAAATATAGATTACAAACTTTATTTTTCAGCATGGTAGCCTGAAGAGTTTTGCCTCTCCAAATTTCCTTTACAGATTACCAAACATAGCTGTATGCATTTGAAGTTAAATCTTTATGTGGCTCTGTCTTCAGACTGATACAATCTATGTTGTCTGTATCTTGAAGCCTACCTCGATTATGTAGGAATAGGTTCTGTGTAATGTTAAATAACATATCCCTTCTCCATTCCACAAAATTAAGTAACAATGACAACAAATAATATTAGTCATAGTATGAACTCTATACAGTTAACCCTTGGACAAAACAAGTTTTTCTCTCTTTATTTTTTGAGACAGGATCTCTCTGTCTTGCAGGCTGCAGTGTAGGAACACAATCCTAGCTCATTGTAACCTCAAACTCCTGGACTCAAGCGACCCTCCTGCCTCAGCCTCCCAAGTAGCTGGGACTACATGGGAGGTAGGTGCATGCCACAATGCCCAGCTAATTTAAAAATTTTTTGCAGAGAAGGAGGCGAGGGAGGTCTCACTATGTTGCCTGGCTGGTCTTGAACTCCTGACTTTAACTGACCCTCTCACCTAAGCCTCCAAAAGCACTGGGATTTTAGGTGTGAGCCACCAGGCTCAGTGAAAACATAGGTTTTAACCAGGTAGGTCCACTTACATGCAAAATTTTTCAACCAAATGTGGATAGAAAATAAAAGTACTCCTAGGATATGAAACCTGTTTATATAGGGAGGACCGACTTCTGTATATGTGGGTTCCAGTTCCTGCAGGGAGTCAGAAGAACCCATACCGCAGTTGGGTTACAACAGGGCGTTAAGAACAATCACTTGAGATTATATTGTTCTTCTGAGAGAAAGGTGCCAGTCCTGCCACAAAGAACTCACCATTCCTTTGGAGAAGAACAAGTCTGACTCAGATGATGCTGGAGACAGGAGGCAAGTTCACAGAGGGCTTCGCATTGTGAAATTTTGGAGTGGAAAGCAAGCATTCCCCAAACTTTTCAACTGGCTCCGGTGAGTATTAGGAGCATGTGATTTTGTGAAACATGTGAAGAAGAGGTATGTAGTTGGTTTGTAAGGAAAATAAACACTCTTTTCGGATGGCATTTCATTTACGGTTACATGGAGAAGTGGAAAGTACAGAAATCACTTCAGCACTCAGCAGATGGTCACAACTGTTCTGTGTCCCCAAACAGTTCTAGTGATATCTTCTCGAGTCTAGATTCTGGTGCAGCTATTTGTTCCCATTGGGCTTGTGATGGCTACTCACCTGGTGGTCCACCTACTGTCACTCATAGTGCAATTGCTTCTGCAGCCTTGTGGCGTCCATTACATTTCTACCCCGTTACTTTTAACTTCTGCTCCACTCTATCTGGTCACTGTCTTTCATTTAAAATTGCAAAGGGATCTAAGCAAGCTGACCAGTCACACTGCAATATTTGTGGTCACGGTAAATAGTTCTCTAGCCAGGCTACTGCATGGGCCAGTGGTTGCCCTCATGGCCTTTATGTCAGGTACCTCCAAAAGATGACATCCTTGGGCTAATCACTTGTTGCCAAATTGCATGCACGTGCTCCCAGGCATGCAGATCTACCCTATTCTTAAGGAGCTATTCATAACTGATACTGCTTGGAGGATGGCTGTCTGCTTTAGTTTAAATGGGAGAGTAATATCTGATGATCACTTTAGAGAGCTTATTCTGTAGCAATATAGAGAAAGGATTGGATGAGAAGATGTAAATTAAAGAATATGAAGTCTATTACCAAGATGCAGAAGATGAACAATGAAGACTAGATGGAAGTCAGTGGCAGCAGAGATGGAAGGGAGAGAATGGATTGATTTGAGGGGTGTGAAAGATGGAGTGTTTCACACAGGGTCCAATCAAAGAAACGAAAGCCATTCTAGGTACTGTCCGGTGGTGTGTGTGCATAAGACAGATGCCCTGTCTTCTCCTTTCCTCTCATTCCAATCTCCTGTGAGAACTTCACATTGGTCAGCCAATGCAGAAACAACTAACAGGACAGCCTGGAAAGGAGCCTGCTGAGCAAGGCAAAAAATGTATTTGAGGGATAACAGGCCAAAGCAGGGATTAGTGTGACTGACTGTATTGGGGCATCATGGCTAATCTAGGGGAATTTTTTAAAAATGAGGCTTGGGAGAAGTATGAATCTGGGTTTGGATCTATGAAGTGTGAGTAGCCCAGGGTCTCACAGTTCTTACAGGAAGGTAATTGGAAATTGGAGTCTCATAAGACAGAGTTCAGGGATAGAAATGTATTTGGGAGTTATAACAGTGGTGGTTCAGGCCAAGGATGTGAGTGAGCTAGACCATCCTGGGGAAGTTTGTGAAAAACTTGTGTTTTTTTGGGGGGGTAAGGATGAAAGAGTAGGGTCACAAACAAGGGAAAGGAAGAATGATCCAGAATAGTTCCAGGAGGAGACTACAAAATAATGGTACAAAAAGTTAGAGCAGATCACATATGGGAGAGGCTGTATGAGGAAGTCAAGGAGGAGTGAGTTTTTAAAGGGATGAGTGTGAACAACACCAAGATACAGAAGTGAGATAAGATCTGAGTAGTGCCTACACCAGATTTGGCAACAAGGAGACTGTGAGTGACCTTAATTAATAGGCGTTCCACTAACTTTAAGTATGGGAGTGTTAGGAATGTTGTGGGGGGAAGGCAGGTCGTGGGTTGAGATGTAAATGGAAAATGACGATTAACTTCTGTTTGCAGTAGTTTGATGGGAGAAGGAAGAAACAGATAAAGGCCAAGGACTCCGAAAGCAGTATATCATCTGATATCTCTTACTACTTCTGCTTGCTTTAGAACAAAATGTGCTGTAACCTGTCACATGTTAATTTTTGTAATTATTTTCTGATAATATCACTCTTTTTTGTGATATTATCACAATTGTACTTTTTTCCCCAAGACTAATTACTATCAGACCTTCAGTCAAATCAATGAGCATTCCCATTTCTACTGGATTATTTTAAAAGAACACATATACCATCTCACGCCAGTTAGAATGGCGATCATTAAAAAATCTGGAGACAACAGATGCTGGAGAGGATGTGGAGAAAAAGGAACACTTTTACACTGTTGGTGGGAGTGTAAATTAGTTCAACCATTGTGGAAGACAGTGTGGCGATTCCTCAAGGCCTTAGAAATAGAAATTCCATTTGACCCAGCAATCCCATTACTGGGTATATATCCAAAAGACTATAAATCGTTCTACTATACGGACACATGTACACGAATGTTCATTGCAGCACTGTTTACAATAGCAAAGACCTGGAATCAACCCAAATGCCCATTGATAATAGACTGGATTGGAAAAATGTGGCACATATACACCATGGAATATTATGCAGCAATCAGAAATGATGAGTTCGTGTTGTTTGTAGGGACATGGATGAATCTGGAGAACATCATCCTCAGCAAACTGACACAAGAACAGAAAATGAAACACCGCATATTCTCACTCATAGGTGGGTGATGAAAAATGAGAACACATGGACACAGAAAGGAGAGTACTAAACACTGGGGTCTATTAGGGGGAAAAGGGGAGGGCCAGTGGGATGGGGAGGTGGGGAGGGATAGCCTGGGGAGAAATGCCAAATGTGGGTGAAGGGGAGAAGAAAAGCAAAGCACACTGCCATGTGTGTACCTACGCAACTGTCTTGCATGCTCTGCTCATGTACCCCAAAACCTAAAATCCAATAAAAAATTAAAAAAAAATAAAAATAAAAAAAATGAAAGAACACATATTCAAATTCAGAGTCTAAATAGGCTCAGAGAATGGGGAAAGAGTAGAAATTAAAACCACACTGCATAGTACTCTCGATTCTTGGGCTCTCATTCAAACAATCTGTTGAAGAAAGTCGATTACCATTCCTTCCCTTTCACAGAATGATAAAACAGAGAGATCAAGACACAGTGCAAGACTCAAACTCTTTTGGAAACTTTTGAGCAGCATGACCTCATAAATACTTCAGATTCTTTACAATTAAATTATTCATTAAAAATATAATTCATGCAGCATATTGAGACCACTTATCTGGCACTTGAATCACCTGTCCTTTGAAGAAGAATGTGTTAGTATTCCCCAGAAAACCTTCTTATTTGTGGTGAGCCCAACAACAAGCCCAAATTCTAAAATTTATTGTCTGCTAAGCCTGGCTCAGCAGTAGCTGCTCCCAAGAATCTGTTCAGGCAGAAGCAACAGAGATTTTTAAGCTTTATGTTGGTCCAGACACACCTGATCTGACCAGGTGTCTCACTGCTGGGTAGAAACCAAAAAGGTAGCAATTGCTACATGCTTGATGAACATCAAGATTTATTTCTTCTTCAATCCCCCCATGTCCCTAATTCTCTTCTTCACACATCACATCTCCACGCACATCGTTCTCCACTACCCCTCTGACAAGTCACAGACTAATGACTGCCAGGGAATTTAACCATGGTTAATTCATTTCACACTACATGCAGTTTTTCTGGATGGATGACAGAAAGTTGAGATGACAACAAACTTTACATTAAAAAATATAAAGGCATTTAAGGAGTAAATCAAGATGGGAGAAAATCTGAAAGTGAGATTGAAGGAAGTGGATTTGCAGCACCTCAGTCTGTTTGAAGGGCAACTCCTCTGTGAAGTGAAGCAGCAGGTAACCGTCAGGTTCCTCTCACAGCTGCAGCAGCAACTGGTGCATCAACACAGCTCAGCCAGATTTCTCCACTTTGCTAGTGCTCCTTCTCCTGACCACCCTGCAAGCCAGTGCAATGGGGATCCTCCCTCTTACGAGATATTTGAAAACAATGTTCTTTTTGCATTTATTCTTCATGCACCTCAGCTGTAGGATTTCTGGACTTCTGAGGTGGAGAAACAGACTTTCTTTTGGAGCAGTGATTCTCAAAATATGGTTCTTTACTTGGTTTTCAAACTCAAACTTACCCTGCAAGAGTAAGTC